GGTATCGAAACCCGGTTTCTAGCGTTGTAAGTCCGGAGACATACCGCTGTGCTACTGGGGGGCTAATTTTTGAAGGCTGTGGTAATTTTCTTATATCCAACAAAAACACAATTTAGATAATTTTTTTTCAAACTGAGTCCAATTCGTAAAATTGTTAGAACCTCGTCAAATTACAATATTGGGTAATAATTTGTTTTATTTATTATCAAGTTTTACATGAAAAATCGCACTAAAACTTATGTAAATGTCATATTTTTGCTTGTAAACATCAAAACCAAAACTATTACCGAACAACTGGATATCCTTACCTCTCGGAAAATTCGTCTCTGTGAGGATAGTTCTGAACACTGTCCTCATCTATTAAAAATTTCATTTTCTGATAAAATGAGGCAGTGACAGCTGGTGGCTGTTTTCTAAGGAGAATATCTAGAGGATCGGGAGATGACATACATAGTACGTTGTCTTTACACCCCTCGTGGTTACAGCATTCGCTGTCTGCGCAATCAGTCAGGCCATCTTTACAAAAGAAAGAAGATAAATAATTCTGAAGGTTAAACAAATCACGTCACCCTGTCATCATTCAATAGGTTTCACATGTTTTCGATAAATACGTAAGTATTAAATTTGAATGAGGAAATGCCGTAGAATAAAAAAGTAATAATATTTTAGAACTGAGAGAGGATCACACCATCTAATAATTACAGTAAAGAGGATCACACCATCTAATAATTACAGTAAAGAGGATCACACCATCTAATAATTACAGTAAAGAGGATCACACCATCTAATAATTACAGTAAAGAGGATCACACCATCAAATAATTACAGTAAAGAGGATCACACCATCTAATGATTACAGTAAAGATGATCACACCATCAAATAATTACAGTAAAGAGGATCACACCATCTAATAATTACAGTAAAGGTGATCACACCGTCTAATAATTACAGTAAAGAGGATCACACCATCAAATAATTACAGTAAAGAGGATTACACCATCAAATAATTACAGTAAAGAGGATTACACCATCTAATAATTACAGTAAAGAGAATCACAGCATCTAATAATTACAGTAAAGAGGATCACACCATCTAATAATTACAGTAAAGAGGATCACACCATCTAATAATTACAGTAACTAGGATCACACCATCTAATAATTACAGTAAAGAGGATCACACCATCTAATAATTACAGTTTGAAAGAATTATTGTACTTCATGAAATCGATATTTTGATTTATCGTCTCTTTGGAACAGAAAATACAGAAACCATACTTTTTTCATGGAAGTTATCTTTTTATCATATTATTAGCAGTGACACATAAGGAAATGGGCATTGCATTATCATACTTCAGACGATAGGATTATTAGACATAAAAGGGAACATTGTTGTTATATTATTAGACATAAAAGGGAACATTGTTGTTATATTATTAGACATAAAAGGGAACAGTGTATTGTTATATTATTAGACATAAAAGGGAACATTGTATTGTTATATTATTAGCGGTAAGACTTAAGAAAAGGAACATGAAGACAAGGGATATTACATTACTACACGGTAGAAGATATAGTTTTTATGATATTAGCAGTGAGACGCAAAAAGTACATTCCATTATCATACTGTAGGATATGTGCTACTATTATATATTTAGCGATGAGAGGAAAAAAGGAACAACGCATTATTATGTTACAAAAGGTGTGTTTCTATCCTATTATTAATGCTAACACATCAGAAAAGAAACGTTAATGTTTCTATATTACAGAAATGTGCTTTTATTGTATTATTAGCTGTGAGGCATGAGAAAAAGAACACTGCATTATCTTCTCACACTATATATAATATAGCTTTACCACGTTATTTATGATAAGACACAATAAAACGAATGTTTTTTTGTCATATTAAAAGAAATAGTTTTATAATTGTTGTTAGAGGTGGTTCATAAGAAAATAAATACTGCATTACCATGTTGTATAGGATGTGGTTTTTATTATATTACGATGTCAGACACACAAAAAGGTCTCGAGTCTAAAATTGATGAAAATTCTTTTCGAACCGTGAAGCATTTCAAAAGTTTAGTTCGGGACACTTCAACCACGACACTTTTCGGAACACTTCAATCACGACACTTTTCAGGACACTTCAATCACAACACTTTTCGGGACACTTCAAACACGACACTTTTCGGGACACTTCAATCACGACACTTTTTTTTTTTTGGAATTTAAAACGAAATACACAAAAACCACTAATGAAAATAAATTCAAAATTCTCTAGTAAACAACAGTATCCCGTTGAAACAAATCGGGTTAAGGTTCTGAGTTCAATAAGTGGTATTAAAATAGAGGTCGATGGGAATCACCGCTAAATAAAATTACATTCAGAGGAAAAAAAAAATATCTTTTCCCAATGATATCGTAACTAAAGGGGAAAACGGCAGTTAAGACATCAAAAACTATCAGAGAGTTTAGAAGTCAAAACTATGAGAAAGTTTAGACATCAAAAACTATGAGAAAGCTTAGACATCAAAACTATGAGAAAGCTTAGACATCAAAAACTATGAGAAAGCTTAGACATCAAAACTATGAGAAAGCTTAGACATCAAAAACTATGAGAAAGCTTAGACATCAAAAACTATGAGAAAGTTTAGACATCAAAAACTATCAGAAAGTTTAGACATCAAAAACTATCAGAAAGTTTAGACATCAAAACTATCAGAAAGTTTAGACATCAAAACCAGCAGAAAGTTTAGACATAAAAAACTATGAGAAAGTTTAGACATCAAAAACTATCAGAAAGTTTAGACATCAAAAACTATCAGAAAGTTTAGACATCAAAAACTATCAGAAAGTTTAGACATCAAAAACTATCAGAAAGTTTAGACATCAAAAACTATCAGAAAGTTTTTAAAAGAAGGGATGTATTTTTTGATACATTAGAAATATGTAAAATGCTAGTTTAAAAGCTACAAAAACAATGATTATTTTTTACTTTAAGTATAAAAAAAGAAAATGATTTTTGCTATTATTATTTTTTCTTTCTTAAAAGTTCATGGAAAAGATAACTCAGATAAGATTTTTTGTGACGTATAAAAGATTAATTTGCTTTTGAAGTAATTAGTCCTAGATGGTATTGTCTGTTTCTTTTGATAAAAAAAATTTGGTTTTATAGCAAAATAATACGTCTTATAACAACATACTTATTTGTATGTTGTTTCTTTTCAAATTCTGTACAGAAAAATGATACCCTGTAAAACGTGCTTTCCTGTACAACTGCACAGCTTGGTACAGAGGTGGAATATACAGATTTTTTTTTTTTTTTTGTGGGACACAGATTGTCAAGTTGATATTTTATCAATTTCCCAGACAAAAATAAAGTTGGGTACCCGTTTCTATCTATGTTAATGATTATCATGTTTTATATTGTATATGTAAAGTAAATGTTTTGTTTCAACAAAATTATTTAAAACTATCCATTGAACATTTTACAGTTTGGAGGTTACTCATTATAGCTTCTTTGTTGTAAAGTACAAGGCTACACAATGGGCTGTTTGAGCTGTGCCCAAACCAAGTATCGAAACTCGGTTGGTCTTCAGATTTACCGCCAAGCCACT